ATATAGAAAGGACTTAGAATGCATGAACCAGATTCAAAGAGACTTCAGGAAAACAAAGCTTCCACCGATAACTACCAAAACCGCTTGAATGAAGCTGAAGATAGAATCTCAGACTTTGAAGACAGCATGGCAGCTAGCAACCATGAAAGAAAGGATCTCATAAAATCAACAAGGATCCAAGAAAAGTGAATTCAACAGCTGCAAGATGAGGCAAAGTGGAATAATGTATGACTTATAGGAGTCAATGAAACAGCAGGAGGCAACACAACTGACATCAAAAGAGTATTTGCAGAAATGATGGCACAAAATTTCCCAAGTATGGAAACAGAACCTGATATCAGGTAAATGAGGCATATAAACTCCATCCAACCATAACCAAAATAAAACTACACCCAGACATATAATAGTCAAGTTCCCAGATCTCCAGCAAAAGAAGAGAATATTAAAAGCTGCTAGAGAAAAGAAACAGATTAACTATAAAGGAAAGCCCATCAGAATCACGGCAGACTTCTCAGCACAAACCACCCAATCAAGAAGAGCTTGGAGCAAAGTATTACAGATTCTGACACAGAACAGCTTCCAACCAAGACTGATGTACTCTGCCAAACTATTCCACAAATTCAACAGAGAAATAAAATATTTTCATGACAAAGAACAACTGAAGATCTTCATGAGCACCAAGCTAGCATTACAAAGAGTATTAAAAGATATTCTAGACAGAGAAAAATCTGACTGCAATTTCAAGAACAACAGTAGAAATGAAATGTCAAGAAGACCAAGCAAGTAAACAGGTAGAAAAAGTAGGACACCAATGCAAGTAAATAACATGACAATGATAAATCAATACATATCAGTTATAACTATAAATGTAAATGGCCTCAATTCTCCAGTCAAAAGAAACAGACTAGCAGAGTGGATTAAAAAACAAAATCCAACGATATGCTGTATACAAGAAACATATTTCACTCAAAAGGAAATCCATAAATTAAAAGTCCAAGGATGGAAAACAATCCTCCATGTAACAGGAACCCAGAATAAAGGAGGTGTAGCTGTTCTGTTTGCAGACAATGTAAACTTCAAACTGACAACAATCAAAAGAGATAAAGAAGGTCACTACATACCAGTCAGGGGAAAACTGCAAGAGGATGAGATAACAATCATAAACATGTATGCACCAAATATCAGAGCTCCAAATTATATAAGACAAATATTAACAGGCATGAAAACCCATTAATAACACTGTTGTAACAGGGGATCTCAACACCCCATTGACACAAAGAGGTAGGTCAACTGGACAAAAAATCAGCAAGGAAATAACAGATCTGAACCAAAGCTGTGAACAAATGGACTTCATAGAGGTATACAGAATGTTGCACCCCACAACATCAGAATACACATTTTTCTCAGCAGCATATGGGTCTTTCTCTAAAATAGACCACATCATAGCCCAGAGAGCATACCTCCCGAAACACAAAAGAATTGAAATTATCCCGTGCATATTATCTGACCCCAGTGCAATGAAATTGGAAATTAATGACAAAAGGAACTGCAAAAACTCCATAAACACTTGGAAATTAAACAACAACCTCCTGAACAACCAATGGGTCACAGAAGAAATTCAAGAGGAAATTAAAAAATACCTACAAACAAATGAAAATGTAAATACAACTTACTGGAATCTATGGGATACCATGAAAGCAGTCCTTGGAGAGAAATTTATAGCGGTGAATTCACACATAAGAAAACAGAACGAGAACTAGTAAGTAGCCTAATGCTGCATCTTAAACTTTTAGAAAAAGAAGAACAAATCAGGCCCCAAACCCAAAGAAGGTAGAACATTATAAAAATTAGGGCAGAAATTAATGCAATTGAGACAAAGAAAACCCTCCAAAAAATAAAAGAATCAAAGAGCTGGTTCTTTGAAACAATAAATAAAATTGATAAACCCCTAGCCAACCCTATCAAAAAAAGGAAGGAAAGAACTCAGATTCATGCAATAAGGAATGAAAAGGATGAAATTAC